CATTGATATGCCCACATCAATGCTTTTAATGAAAGTTAACACACTTCAAAAACACAAAATCTTACCAAATACTTTTGATTTAGTTTGCAAATGTCTTAGTACACTTGGGATAAAACAAAAATAACTTACAAGAAAGTTTTCAGAAAGAAATGGAAGCTTGCTTGAATAATAATAATAATAATAATAATAATAATAATAATAATAATAATAATAATAATAATAATAATAATAATAATTGATTAATTTATTATTATTTCATTAATTATTGGTAAAAAGTCTTGTTATACAAGATATAATCTATAGTGGTCTAGTATTTTTATCAACATTAAGGAACTATGGATTAAAGTAAAACAAGCTCCTATATCTTGCTGAAACATTACTTTTAATTTAATTTAGTCTTAATTAACATATACCAAGATATTTGCGCTAGAAACTACACAATACCTGACAATACCTGGTAAAATTTTATGTTTTTGCAGTACACATTGAAGATAACTGGAGCTGTGACAGAAAAAAAAAAACACCAGATGAGAGTCTAAGGTTATCTTGCTGCAACAAAGCGCAGAGGAAGGTGAGGGAGATATAAGATCAGTATGAGATTATTGTAACAATAAGGCTTTATTTCCTCACTTTCACTGGAGTTTCTCTGAAACTACTTCGTACAAAACCCCACAGGGAAACTTTCCTTGAACATCAAAATCTGTTTTTATAGTATACCAATGAAAGTGAGAAGTGAAGAAAAACCAAGTTTTCTAAAAGCTTACTGATGAACATGAAATAGGTTTTTGAAGAGTTTGAACCCAGAGGGCATTCCCTCTGCCTCTGTCATTTCCTTCTTTTGGCTGCAGTGGTGCAGCTTTGACTGCACATGTGACTCGGAGGAGAGCGCTGGCGGACTCAGGTGCTCATCATTCTGAATGTTAAGATTCAGTGCCTACATGAAGCAGAAATGCAGCTTATTTTTAGCCTACAGTTACATCATCACTTTGAAATTAGGAAGCACCAGCGACCCAAAGAAATCCGTCTCCCCTGGTGATCGAGACACGTGACTCTATGGACTGACAGTAATAAGATATGACACTTCATTTAATGAAGATGAATGTGGTTGGAGCAGCCAGCTTATGGAGTCTTGAAATATAAATTGCCTTGTGACTGAATTAATGTCCAGTGAATCTTTTCGTATTACAACCACAGACCTCAGGTTAATTTTATTCTGATTTTATATGGTATATTAACACAAGATAGTGGAAAGAAACCTACCAATGCCTTGCTCCATTTTTCTCTTATTTTAAAAGTATGTGGTTTTGAAGTAAAAATAGACAAACAGATTTGCAGTCAATCTCCAATACCTGGATAATCCTAGATCAAAAACTAGTTTGTTTGCCTTCAGAAGTCACCAAATTCGCAAAAAGAAAATATACTTGTATTTAAATAATTAACTGAGCTTACTGTACTGTTTAATACGGAAGAGGATTAGGGCCACTGGAAAAAAAAAAAAAAATGTCCGAAATTTTTTTTTTTTTTTTTCCAGTGGCCCTAATCCTCTTCCGTAAAAAATGACATACCTGTTATTTATTCTTGTGTATGAACATTGGATCACCGTGTAAATTGCATTTTGTGTCACTCCATGACCCTTCTTTGGTATAAAATTACTTAGAAAAATTGTAAATCACCTCATCCAAAGTGCGGCCCGATATTGGTATGGGAAGTGAAAAAAGTGGGTTGGTGCATCCCTACTTGTAACGTGATAAAATGTGGAAAAAGTCCAAGGGCACTTTGTAACCTTATGATAAAGTTAGAAATAAGCAGTCAGACACTTTGGTTCTACATATCAGAGGTTTTATTAGAAAAGCTCAAACACTGATCACATTTACTATGAGTATCGATGAAAAATGTCTGACTGAGGGTTTCAATCGAATGATCTTTCCTGGAAACAAAAGCTACAGGATTTATGTCAGAATTCAGCTAATGGAATATTCAATTTAATTTTAAGACATTTGCTGAAAGCACACAAAGAACAACAAGAATATTTAATGTGACAAACATGCTCTAAACTAAAACAGACGTCTAAAACCGTGCTGGAAACATATAGATTGACTTAGACATTTGATTTATTTGAAGAAAAAAAAAAGTCAGATTGATGTGTAATAAAGGGAGGAGGAAAAGGAGAAGAGATGTAGAGAAAGACTGTTGTGTGGGAGAGGTGTTGACTTGTTTGTTTGGATCATGTGTCTGTTCAACAAATTGCATCATCTTGGCAAAAAACACTACAAACATGCGTTAGTTATCAATGTATCAATGTCAGAACCATCATTTGTGGCAGCCCTGGATGCTCTTTTTTCCTCCAAACACACGTTCCTTTTTTTGCACTCAGTTTTATCTCAATTTGTGTTGTGATTCTCCGCAAAACACCCCAGGACAAAGCCGTTGTGCACCATCCAGGAGGTGTGCGTGGATGCAGTCTATTTGTGTGCAAAGAAATCAACCACCATAATGATTGGCATGTTGGGGGATGAGGTTGCCTTGGAGACTGAGAAACACAAAATGCTTCACATTCACTCACAAATAAAGAAGCAGCTTTTCATTCTCTGTGCATGGGCTTTGTCTCTTCTTTTTTTTTTTTTTTTTTTGCACTATTTTTTTTTCCATCCTCCATCTCAGACTCCATCTGTCCTGTTGTATCTGTGTCTGTTTTATTGTCTGCCACTTTGAGGTCCCTCCTGACCCAAGCCCATATTTCATTATTCTTGGCTTAAAGCTCATCTAACATTCTGAGTCCTCTGTGTAACCCCTCGCATTTGTTCGCGCCTCTCTCCTTATTTCACACCGGCCTCACAGAATGCATCTAGGTCACACATCATTCTTGTGTAACTTGCTCCATCTGGGTTTAAATCTCTGAAAAAGTGAGCGGCCAACAGCCAGACAAACAAACCCACACGCGTACACACACCGATGCAGCCATTTCTGCCTGATCTGTAACCATGGGGACACAGTGTAAACAGCAACCATAGATTAAATGGGATTGGCTTCACCTGTGTGTCTCTCATAAATAATTCTCTCTGTGTGTGTTTATCTGCACACTGTGCTTTTAAAGGCACCCTCCAGGTGGTGAAGCACGAGTTCTTTGAAGAAGGTATTAGTAGGCTGTAGCTTACCTGCAGAAGTCAGAAATCATCAGGAGGTGAGATTGGAGGAACATGCAGACTACCACAGGATTATGGGTCAGTACTGGTCAAACTGGGGCTGCTTTAGGACGTCGTTTCAGCCTTCAAAACATTCTGACTTCCACTTTTTACATCAACCACACTTGGCAGGAAATGTAATTTAGGATATAACTCACTCCAGGATGAGGAGGGACATTCCTCAGACACTTCCATCATAAATGATGACATATAATCTGTTTATCAGATTATAAGATAATAACAGGTTGCAGTTTGTAAGGTACACAGTAAAAAATTAACTATTGAGCATGTCTATATGACATGCTCAATATTCTGATGTATTGAGCATGTCATATAGACAACAACTGAGTTAATTTTTCAATCACATTTTAACCATGTCATTCAAATGTTTATAAATGTCTTAGTTTCTAACTAAATATTTAACTCATAAACCAAACCAAACTAGTTAAATTAATTAATTTAGTTTACAAGCTAAACATTGACATACAAATTCAATATTAATTTGTGTTAACTAAATATTTAGTTTCAAAATAAATGTTTATTTTCCAAACTAAACATTTAATTTTCAAACTAAATATTTATTTCCTAATCTGGACTATTTACTTTGACCTAAATATTTAAGGTCAAGCTAAACATTTAGCTTTTGAATTAAATATTTAGTTTGGGATGATACTTATGAATGCATGAATGACATGGAGATAGTATGACTTAAACTGAACACCCATTTCATTTATTTAGCCTGTCTATATGACAGGCTAAATAAACCAAAAATATTGATGTTCATTTTTTGGTCTATATAACTTTACAAGCTTAAGTTGGAAAAATAAAATAAGAAAAACAAATTATTGGGGGAAATAATCTATAAAAGAAAGCTGGACTGGTGTGAAAAATTGATTTCCATTTGATTTTTATGATTCAACAATAAGAAAGAAACAAATAAGATGGTAAAATCTCTGAAGAAAAACAACACATATCTCCATCTCAAATTTGTTAGCAAGATATTGATATGTTCAAAGAAATACTTTTATAAAGGTGTGCATCTTTTTGCACCTGTTGTAATACTAACAGTGAATTTGAGAAAAAGAACATCATACTAGCAGTCAAACATGGTGGTGGCAGTGTGATGGTCTGGGGCTACTCTTATTGATGCAATAGAAATCCTGAAGGAAAATATCAGGCCATCAGTTCCTGGCCTCAAGCTCAATCCTACTTCATCTAATGACATAAAGGCTAAACTACTATTAAAATTAACACTTTGTAGTGGCCTAGTCAAAGTTTAGACTTAAATCTGACTGAGATACTGAACATAAAGAGGAAGTTCATAATCCAAAATTCCCTCAAAGCAATATTAGAGTCTCATCGTCTATTACTATGATGGAGTTGTTGCTGCTAAGGATTACGTATTAGGTTTATGGGGTACAACAAAACTCTCACCTTGTTATAAAACTTTTTTTTTTGTATTTAGGTTATCTTTTAAATTAAAGTTATGTTAATTTAAAATAAATGTGCAAAAAACAAAAACAGGAAAAGGGGATACATTTTGACTTTTATTTTGAAAATTTGTCCTCTGAACCTCTCTGCTGTCCTCTGCAGGTAAGATACTGATTACTTCATGTCGTTTACTGGTCAGTTATAATTGATCTGCTGGAGACGGGGACTATGTGGAGGAAGGGTGTCCAAAGTGTGGCCCAGGGGCCACTTGTGGCCCTTCAGATGACTCCTCAAGAATGGTTCAGATTTGTCAAACAAAACAGAAAATAATTTATTTTCCCAAAAACATATTTTTCTGTTAATAAGACAACAATATGAAACCCTGTGTATGTTTTGTATCTTTAATGATTTGCAGATTTTCTAAAAAAAAATTTTTTTTAAGTATAGATAAAAGAAAAAGTCAAAATTAGCTACATTTTACATCTTTAATTTAATGGATTTTGTGGCCTGTGAGTGGTTTAAATCAGCCAGTTTTGCCGAGAGCAAAACGTTTGGACACCACTGATGTAGAGCAACAATATTGAATGCTGCACTGCAAAAACACAACATCTTACCAAGTTTTTTTTTTTTTTTTTTTTTTGTCTAGCCTCTAGTGCAAATATATTTGTACACTTGAAACTGACTTACAAGTAACCTTTCAATCAGATATAGGATTGGGTAAATAAAATAAAATAAATAAAAGGTACTTTTTCTATAAGACAATTTTTTTTCATGTTATAAATTCAATAACTTGTACTTTTTTAATCAATATTAGAGAATGATTGTATTAAAACCAGCTCCTAGATCTGAATGAAACATCACTTGTAAGTTAGTTGTCTTCTGAAATATTTGCACTAGAAAAAACAAAAACACTTGGTAAGACTTTGTGTTTTTGCAGTGTGACAAAGCCAGGAGACAGGGCAGTTCACACAGTTGGTTATTTCACAAGGAGATCTTCTGGTTTGCTGTGTTTGCGTCTGATTTGGTTCACTACAGCATCTCTGAAGACACGTTTCGTGCGTATTTAGCGGAGCGGAGCCTCAGTTCGTGGTAGCACTGAACAAAGCTGTGGTAGATGAAAGTGATTGGCAGAGCCAGGAGAACAATCCCGCTCACAACACACATTCCCCCGAGAACTCGTCCCCAAGTCGTCTCTGGATACACGTCCCCATACCCGACTGTAGTCATGGAGATAATGACCCACCAGGCGGCGGCCGGGATGCTGGCGTAGCCCTGGTTCTGCGGGTTCAATTCCAAGCCGTACTCCAGCAACTGTGCCAGGGCGCTGTATATCGCCAGGGCCACGAAGACAAACACCATGAGCATGACCATCTCCCTGTAGCAGCGCCTGAGCGTCAGCCCCAGAGTCTGCAGGCCCAGGAAGTGTCTGGCCAGCTTCATGAGCCAGAACACTCTCATCATCCTCAGCACGCGCAGTATCACTCCACCGACCCCGAGCCCAGCACCGGGCATCCCAGCTCTGGCCATTGCCATGGTGACATAGTAGGGGGTAATGGCAATCGCGTCGATGATGTTCAGCGGATGGCGGATGAAGTCACACTTGTCTCTGGCCAACAGAAAGCGCACAATGCACTCAGCTGTAAACCAGCCGATGCACACTGCCTCCACTATCCTAAAGAAGGAAGATAGGAGAGAGAAAGAGTTTAAGGATAAACAGGAAATGGCAGAGGAGCTGCAGAGAGATAACAGTATGCTTGATGTGAGATACTGCTTGATTTGATCTGTCAGTGTGAGGGAGGAATGAGCCAAGCAAGAGGATTTAAATCACTGGAAATAAGGAGCACATCTGATGCAATTTAGACATACAAGTAAACAAAGCAGGCTGAATTAAACTCCACACAGGGAAAGAAGAAAAAGCCTGAAAGACAAAGTCAGCTTCTCAATTAATCCCCCAATTAACACATAAAGCTGAATCAGAACCCCATACCGCTGGTATTTGACACAAACGAGATTCAAGGAAGTAAAGACCGCATGTTCCAACATGGTAGCGATAACCACAATTGAATCAAACCAAATTATGAAGCAGCTGAGAAAACTGCATCATCTACTGACATGAAACTGGATCCCTTTGGCCCCAAGTACGAGCTACGCTTTTAGTTGATTACCTAACCCCCTGGAAAAGCTCCAAACTCAAAGCTATGTCCAGCCTGAGAGAACAAAACCTAACCTTATATAGAAAATGGACTCCTCAGGACTTCCTTCAGACTCAGAGGACAGGCTGTAGCAAAACAAAACAAAACAAAAAAAAAAAGCACAATGCAGAAATGGAAATGCAGGTTTTCATTTTGTGATCAAAAGAGTTGCTCAGTCAGAAACTGGCCTCTTGTGAGACCACAAAAGGAAAAGTTAAGAGAAATGCATCACAAGAGAGCTCCCTCTGTTATTAACACTTCAAGTTTAGTAGATAATATTGATCCATTATTGATTTTCTCTTAGGGGGCTTGTGTGACAGCCATGTGAGGATGCTAATGATTAATGGGGTTGTCTGAAACTCATCAATGAGCATTATGTCCTCAGAGGCGCCGGTTTACCAAGCTTTGTTTCACATTTTGATTTAAGTGTTGGACATTATTTGTTGTAATTTTCCATTATCAACTCATGCATGGAAATTTTATGACTATAATAAATAACAGTATATTGATTAAGAGTTATTTTGGTTGCATTGGGGAACATAATCTGTTTTATTTTGTAATACGCAAGTTAAGGCAATACAACGCTGAGAGAAAATGTGTAGATTTCAATTTAATTACACATGAGATTCGAGGGTTTTTCGGAGTGTTTTTTTTTTTATATATAATTTATTAAACTGATAAATATAATGACAAATGTACTAATATTGAAGGGCTTAAGTGCATGGTAAATGTTTTTTACAGGACACATGGTTAGGTGTAAAATAGTTATTTGAACTGCCAGTTATGGTTTGATCTGGAGATGAAAAATTCTGTTTGTTTTCAGTCTAACTGTTATGGGAATGGTGTTTTATTCTTAATATTAGTCAGAAATTGACCCAGTTTGGGAGTTTTCATCAAGATTCAGCGAGAGCAGAAATATTATCAATGTTGGATCACTGAATGTGAATTATTTGTTAATAAAGGCTTTACAAATATGTGAGGGTGTTGTCTTTTTTTTTCATCAAATCATTTTTACACAGAATCAAACTGTCTGTGGTTTTAATTTCTTTGAGTGAAGGCATAGCTTGCATGAGTTAATGCTACAGTGAGTCTGTTATTTTTATCAGATTCTAGCAGACTGGAGTTGAATTTACATTAATAGCATCGGGGTTAATGCATCTGGTATATCTGTCTATCTCTATGCTGATGACGCAGCTGTTTACCGCCATTGAAACTCCATTGCCTTAGTATGCGATCATCTACAGGCTGATTTTGACATTATTCAGTCACAATTGTTGCATCTCAAATTAATTCTCAATACTGACAACACCGAAGATATTTTGTTTTCAGTCTGTCACTCCTTGCTATCCTGTCTGCACAAATTGAATTTTGCTTGCTGGAAATGCATATTACAAGATGAATATCTTTTTTTTATTGCAAATATTGATAGTATGAGAATAAAATAAGGCTATTTTCATAGAATTAAAGCATGTTCTTTAATATTTAAAGAACAGTCATTTATTCATGTTTTATTTAACATGAATAAACAATTTGTGCCAGCTGACCTTTTACTTTACATTGATTAAGGTTTTATCATTTATAATGAATGTTTCTGTTAGATTCACTACAGGATATATACATAGATATATCTATATCTCTATCTATATCTATATTTATATAGACATAGATAGATATCTATCTATCTATATATATCTATCTATATATAGATATAGATAGATATATAGATATATTATATATATTATATATATATATATATCTATCTATATATAGATATAGATAGATATATAGATATATGAGAATAAAATAAGACAACATATATATATCTATAGATATAGATAGATAGATAGATAGATAGATAGATAGATAGATAGATAGATAGATAGATAGATAGATAGATAGATAGATAGATAGATAGATAGATAGATAGATAGATAGATAGATAGATAGATAGATAGATAGATAGATAGATAGATATAGATAGATAGATAGATAGATAGATAGATAGATAGATAGATAGATAGATAGATAGATAGATAGATAGATAGATAGATAGATAGATAGATAGATAGATAGATAGATAGATAGATAGATAGATAGATAGATAGATAGATAGATAGATAGATAGATAGATAGATAGATAGATAGATAGATAGATAGATAGATAGATAGATAGATAGATAGATAGATAGAGATAGATAGATAGATAGATAGATAGATAGATATAGATAGATAGATAGATAGATAGATAGATAGATAGATAGATAGATAGATGATAGATAGATAGATAGATAGATAGATAGATAGATAGATAGATAGATAGATAGATAGATAGATAGATAGATAGATAGATAGATAGATAGATAGATAGATAGATAGATAGATAGATAGATAGATAGATAGATAGATAGATAGATAGATAGATAGATAGATAGATAGATAGATAGATAGATAGATAGATAGATAGATAGATAGATAGATAGATAGATAGATAGATAGATAGATAGATAGATAGATAGATAGATAGATAGATAGATAGATAGATAGATAGATAGATAGATAGATAGATAGATAGATAGATAGATAGATAGATAGATAGATAGATAGATAGATAGATAGATAGATAGATAGATAGATAGATAGATAGATAGATAGATAGATAGATAGATAGATAGATAGATAGATAGATAGATAGAGATAGATAGATAGATAGATAGATAGATAGATAGATAGATAGATAGATAGATAGATAGATAGATAGATAGATAGATAGATAGATAGATAGATAGATAGATAGATAGATATAGATAGATAGATAGATAGATAGATAGATAGATAGATAGATAGATAGATAGATAGATAGATAGATAGATAGATAGATAGATAGATAGATAGATAGATAGATAGATAGATAGATAGATAGATAGATAGATAGATAGATAGATAGATAGATAGATAGATAGATAGATAGATAGATAGATAGATAGATAGATAGATATAGTTGCAACTTCACCTGTTTGACTCCAGTGACCCCAGGATAATGTGTGAGGTGACAATGCAGAAGGAAAAGTTAATGATGACAATGATCATCATTGAGCTTTATATTCAGTGCACAAAATACAGTTTTATATTCCTGATTATTTCATTTGATTATTTCTTATAACTGGAAATAAAACATTTTCTTATCCTGTAAAATTTGCCCTTGCTGTACAGTTTTCCATTCTTATTTTTCTGTTTTTATACTGTAAGTCATTATCACATTAAGATAGTCAAGTCTCAGACCAAAAGTCTATGTAAAGTTCTTACATGAGTCTGAAACTTGAATTTTTATGTTAAGTAACATGTTAATTATTTTGCACTTTTGCACTGAAAAGGGTCTGTTTTTGGCATTAAAGTAGATTTGACAGGTCTATTTCTACAACCCTCCATCCTTGTATTTTCACAACATACTAACTATGTTGTACATTGAGAGTTTAGATGTAACTAAATGAAACGTAATGGTGCATGTTCAAGTTTCCTGTCTGAAAAACAGGAGAATTCCCTAAAGTCAGAATTCCAACTGGAAAATTTGCAATTCAATGAACACGTCTGCGGTTTTTTTCCAATATGTCTCTTGTGCATATCATATGTACTGAAAGGTGACATTTGTTATCACTTCTGACAGTTTGCATGTCATTAAAGAGTCACACAAAGTACTGTAACATTTTTTTTGTAACTTTCTGCTTAATCCTTACTTTATCAAATAAAGCGAAATGTGCTGTTATAAGTTCACATTACTAATAATGGCTCCAGAAAACGACAAATCCAGTTTTTAAGATTTTAATCCTCTCAAATTAGTGACATCTGAGCATATGGGTCCATCTTCGCTTCACATATTAAAATTGAGAGAAAAATACTAGTTTTCATGACTTAACAGAACCAGATGAAGAACCTGCAAAGATATATGGAAAAATACTCTGAGGAGGTCCAATTCGTCACCTTATGCCTTATCTGATGTCATAATGAGAGGGGTGTGGTGTGGAAGCCTGTCAGTGGGAGTTTGTTTATCTCTATTAAACAATTTAATGCAAAACAAAGAGTAACTTGACATATTTCCATAGGTGACAAACTATATTTAAAGTCAATGTGGTGGGTTTTACTGAATTTGAAAGATTCAGTCATGAAGTGTCTCACTTTTACGCACAGGACTTAAAAGAGCACCGTCTCATCTCGCCTCAATGTCCTGACCGCATTTCACCGAGGGGAGCCCCTCGAACACTGCAGTTTGGTCGCAAACCATCGCCTACCTGTGCTCTTCCACTGTAGTCTTCTTAGCCGTATCCCAGTCCGGCAGCGTGCTGGCACACAGCATGATCATAGAAATAATCACGAAAACCACGGACACCGAAGCCAGAAGCTGCGCCGCCAGGGAAGAATTCGGGTCCTCGAAGGTTTTGCGCATCTTCTCCAGCCATTTGGCGCGTCCGGTGAGCGCAATCTGTTGCACCGTCTCCTCCGGAGTCAGGCACTCATCCCTGGACAGTATGATGTCCTCCTCTGAGAGACTGTCCATCCCGATGTCGGACATCCTCTCGTCCAGGCGCTTCTGGCAGCAGGAGTCCAGGTGCGCGGTCTCCAGCCCCCAGTACAGCATCTCGGTGTAGAAGGACAGCTCACAGACTCCGGGGACAAACCGGAGTTTGCCGGAGCGCACGTACAGCATTATGAACACGAAAGCTTGCGCGTGGCGGTCGAAGAAGAACTCGTTCCGGTCCCGGTCGTAGTCGTCGCACAATTCCAGGACCTCTTTCTCGGTCGCGCAGGCATGTAAGCGGCTGACGCGCCGGAGTGGGAAATCCCGGATCACCTCACGAGTGAAGGCGTACCGGGTTCCCCCCACATTAAGCACGCATATGCTCTTCCCGAACTTCATCTTAGCGACCTGAACCCGACTAAAACTCTTCTTCACTGTCCATCCTTCCTTTCATCTCAGGAGTCAGGGCACCTGAGGGAGCGGACGGTCTCCCCTGGCCCCCGGGGCGTGGCTCGCCTTTCCTGGAAGCGGACCTCTAGGTTTGGTCCTTGTGTGGATAAAACTAAATCTCCTCTGTTTCTCCCACTGCCCGCTCCGTCTGTCTCTGTGGTCTGGATAAAACTCTCCACCCCACTCAGGGCGAGCCAGTCCCACCCGTGATGTCATATGCGCGCACGCAGCGAGAAACACAAACCCCCCACAGTAAAATCACAGCTTATTGTTTTGTTTCCACACTGGTAAAACACTGTCAGAATTTAACCAATAACCCAGGAGCAATTGTGTTGTATTTGGACAACTTTCAGTTAATGATTTTGAGTAGGAATAATGTAGAATGAAGGACAACAGACAGTAAAATGCATTTTAATTTTTTTTACAGTGAACAAAGTTGATGTCTAACATTTTTCATCTATTTTGACTCAAATATTCTATTTACTCAAATGTACTGTTCTGTTTCATGGTATAAAAAGCAGTCCCAGACCATGACACAACCACCACCATGTCTCAATGTTTGTATCAAGTTCTTTTTCTGAAACGTGGTGTCAGTTTTCCACAAAAGCTGCACTTTTCTCTCCTTAGTCTGCATATTTACCCAAACATCTGTGTTTCCAGCAGTGAATTTTGCCACTGCATGCAATTTTTAATGCTATTTTTTTTCTTCTTGAGTGCTGCATTGCTTTAGATCCTGCTTTATTTTCTTTTGTGACCTCCAGGGAGAGTCATTAATGGGTTCTTGAAGTTAAGTTTTGGTCACTGGGCCATTCCTGAAGGCTCTTCACTGTGACATATGTTTTTACTTTTGCAGGTAATGACTCTCAGTGGTTCATTAGAGTCTCACAGATGTCTTGGCAACATGTTCAGGTCTGTTTGATAACCTTGTTTCTCATCTATTCCTGAATTTATTTACATAGCGGTTTTATGTGTTTCTTTTTGACTCTGTATTTTTCTAGGCGTGCCGACCAATCAAAGTGTTTAACATATGGGCACCAATATGGATAAGAAGGCAACTTAACATTGAATACCTTGTCCAGTAATACATCAGCAATTGACAGGAGGAAGCATGAATTAAATCCAAAATGAATTACTAATAAAAGCAGTTACTTTTTCTACATTGGGTCAGATTACTTTGGCAAGTTTGTTTTTCCTTAACAAATTAAATCACAATTTTAACACTTATTTTATTTATTTATTCAGTTCTGCATGACTGAAATGAAATATTTGTTTATGTTTGATTTTCATTTCAGATTTCCAATACAAGTCACAGTCCTGTCACCTGCAGAAATACTGAGATGTTTCTGCAGTAGTTGGTTTTTATCAGAGATGGTAAAGAAGCTGAGTACAGAGAGCTGGTGGATCGTTTTGTGTCACTGTGGGGAAACAACCATGTTATCTTTAGATGATTATAGTTTGTAAGAAAAACAGCATGATGAAAACCACTTTTTGTGGAGGTGGAGGAGGAATATAAACACCTCAGTGTTCTCAGACTGAACAACGCAACATTGAAGCCGACAGAGCAAACTTTACTTCTTCAGAAAATGTTATTTCTTCACTGTTTGTGTAATATTTGTTTTCTATCATCTGTTTGGCTAGTACCAAAAAGGCTAAATAACCTGATTAAGAAGGCTGGTTTCTTTCTGGTTACGACTGGAATCTCTGGAGATGATAGAGCAAAGAATGATTCTTCATAAAATACTAATAATGAAAAAAAAGGACAACCCTGAGCATCCTTTTTTTTGAAACTGCTTCACAACAACAGAGTGTCTTCAGTCAGAGGCTCCCTCAGAGTCGCTGTAATACTGACCACTAGAGGAGATCCTTACTGCACACAGCCATCAGTATCTACAACAAATCTTAGAAGAACATTAAATGATACGAATTTCAACAACTTTTATTGTTCGTTTTGGAATCAATAAAGTATTTTTAATTGAATTGAATTTAATCTTAAACATTTGAGTGTCAAAATACAAATACAAATGTTTAATATATCTTAAGGTTTTTAATCTGTAAAACAAAAAAACTTTTGTTCATAACAGATCATATCACGGCTATTTTTAGTTGATCTATCGCATAAAATCCATAGAATCCGTAGAAATACATAGAACTTAGTTGTTTCGACGTGGTTGTGTTTGCGCCTGCGCAGACCCCTTCGTCGCCTCCGAACAGTGAGTGGTTTTTCGGGTTCATCCGACTTCTGTCGGCCGCTCTGAGTTTACTGTATTGTAAAAAGCTGCTGCTGCGAATCGGTAGAGGAGGAGTAGGAGGAGGAAGGGGGGTCTGAGTAGCCAAATTTCTCCCCTGATAGTGAACACATCCGGAGTCCCGACGGTCGTTATTTAAAAAAAATCACGTTGTGTTTTTAGAAAACAGAGTTTTAGATGTACATATTTTAAAATTAATTTATGTCATTTCGCTTAGTTTATGCTTTACCTTAACACGCTGGGAGGGCAGAAATGGCGGCCAACATGTACCGGGTCGGAGGTATGTATGTTAGTGGATCCTTTAAAAAAAAAAATCAAACAGAAACAACTAAGTTTTGGATCTCCTTTGTGTTATTTGGTGATGTGTTAGTGATCGTGCGTGTAATGGTGAGATGCGGTTGAGCTGCGTGTTTAGATGTGAGTGAGGCTGGAGCCGGAAGGTGAGCTTTTCTTAATATTTGGGATCCAAAATGGGTCAGGCCTCTCAGCAGCTAGCCGCCAGCTGGCTAACTGGCTACCTGGTAATGTAAACATTTTTTCTCAGCTGTCGGCACTGTTAGCCGCTAGAGAGGTTGCTAAATACTTTCACAGTGGACGTGGAAGAGCCGCAAGCGGCGTTGGCCCACGGCTGGAGGTGTATTTAAGCGGCTGGTGAAATTTCATTTCGGTCAGTCTGAGGCTGCCTTTGTATTTGCCTCTTCTGGCATGCAGCCATTAGTCTACGAGTCCTTATTTAGCTAACGTTAGCACAAGCCGCGGCTCGCCGTCCTCTTCCCCCTTTTATTATTTCTGCATTGTAATTACACGACCATCTAGGCGACATTAAAACCTGCTTTCCCCCGCAGCGTTTAGTATTACATACACATTGACTTATAGTGTGGTTAGTGATCAAGTCGGGCTGGTTGGTCGACCAGCTAGCTCGTTAGCACTCTGCTGGAATTCAGCATCAAATTATTGTCTTCATGGCGTCTGTGCGTCTGCTGAGCTGAACCTTACACCTTCATTTGCTCATACCAGACTTTTCCTTTGCCTCGAAAAGGAAAGTTATAATAAATGCCTTGATGCATCATTTGATTGTTGCGGTATAAACTATATATTTTGCCATTCTGGCAACCACTTGCACATCTCAATGCATCTTATCTTCATTTCTGATGCCTTCAGGTGCTCTTTGTTAACTCCACGTTGCATTCAAATCCTCTCCTGCAAAACACACAGAGCATGTGCATTTCACTAAATCATCACATGCATTTATATGAATTATGCATTTCAAAAATGTAAACACATTTATTATATTGATATACTATGCAATGGCTTAAGTGTTGAATTCTGTTTAATTTTTGATGATTAAAAGGGTTTGAATTTCAAAAGTACCTTTATATCAAATATTGTCTCCCAGACAAGTATGTTCAAAGAGTTGTTCTGAAGGTGATGCTGTGAGCAGGACAAATCTACAGTAGCAGTCAGTCTTGCATTGAATCTGAAGAGGCTTCTGACCAAATATGTTGTTTATACTTATGAGGATCATAACATGTTAACAGCTCAATTTCCAGGCCGCAGAGGTGATATTATACATTAGGATGTCCTGGTTGACAACATCAGTTGTTGGGAAACACTGCTAATTCACTTGCTTTTGCTATTCTTCTTTAAATCTGTCTGGCTGTATGGTTAGAAAGCCTGTTAGGACTAATGGAAGTGATGGCTTGAACCTGTTCCTTGCTTCTCTGCTCTGCATCTCCTTTTCTACTTCTTTGGGATTTGTTGTCACAGTTCAGGTATCATTTGAGCTTTTGGGACGCTAATCAGCTGCCTCCAGTTGTGAAACGATACCTTATTGCCATTGTTATGCATCAGTAATTGTCTAAAAGTCAAACAGTAAGAAGAACTTACTTTTTGACTTAAAGCTTCCAGCTGCACGGCATCCAAAATCAGAATGAATGACTGAACCAACATCCAACTAAAAAAATTCTAGTCACTCCAGCATCGGTCCTGAATCAGAGACAGGAGTCGGGAGCTCCTTACTTAGGCTAAGCAGAAAATAAGCTCGTTGTCTAAATCTCTGTTTTCAGATGGAATTCAATTTAATTTTGAAATTTGACTTCTGAGGAAGAGTAGCAGAAATAAATTATGACAGAAGCTGCCATCTTAAACCAACTCCAGTCTCAGAAATATCACCTTTTGTGAAAAAAAGGAAGCTTTAAGCAGCTGTCATGTTTCTATTGAAATCTTATTTACATAATCATCAGTTTTTATTCATGAGGAATAAAGACATGTGATTGTGGTTCAAGATCACATGTGAGCTACCTGCAGCTAATCATTTAGCATATCAGCAGCATCTTGGATTTTGAGTCTGTGAAAATGACTAATGATGCTTTTCGACTAGCGTAATATTTAAATTTATTTAAGTTGCCTCCTTGTAGAAGCTTTCAGACCTTTGGCACATTTTGTCAACTTGCAGACATAATCTTCAAGATTTTATTTTAAGAGTATATTTGACAGGTAAACACAAAGTTACGCATAACTATGAACTAAAACATAAATTATACATAAAATAATGTTTTTTTTAGAAATATAAATGATGACTCAATAGTTCATAGAACCACTTTATGCTCCAGTTGCAGCTGCAAGTCTCTATTGCATGTTATATGCAGAAAATGTTGACAGTTCTTCCTTGAATACTAAATCAAACTCAGATTGAATGGAGAGGATTTCTGAAGATCAGTTTACAAGTCTTACCACAGATCAGATGGATTCCTGTCTGGACTTTGACTAGGTCACTGTAATACATGGACACACTTTGATATGAACTATTCCATTATGGTTCTCATAGTCTGACTGTTCAATTGGATGTTATTGGAAAATGTTGATTTAGGTCTACAT